GTCATATTAAAAAAAAAAAAAAAGAGTAACACTTTGGGGCTGCCTCCAGGGTCTAGCCTAGGGCTCACACATCACAATTTGGATGGGATGCACCAGCTGCAGGAGCGTGGAGAGCTCTGAGCAGGGTCCGGGGAGGATGCGATCGCCCAGGTTTCGGGAAGAGGGAAGAGCCGCCTTAACCCTTCCGGGGCGCTGCAGCGCCTCTGGGTTCGGCTCGGCGCCCCACGATCGCACTTGCGCCTTTAAGTGGGAAAGGACACCCCATACCTGCCATCTTTCGCGGTCTCAGCCCCCCTCAAACGCACACTTTGTGCCCCCTCTATCTGGGATGCAAACTCCTGCAAAACGAGTTACTAGCCGCGGGACTTTGAACAGACCGCGGGCCACTTCATGCTCTGTCCCGGGGGCGATGGGTGGGGGGAGAGAGAGGGGCTGGCGGAGGAGACGAGCTGAAAGTGGGGGGCTGGCCGAGGAGCCGGGACCCCGGCCGTCCCATCGGGGAGGGCGCCGCGCCCACCCCGCCCAGAGGCTGGGACGGGGCGGGGGCGGGGGCGGCGGCGTGCGGGGGGCCGTGTGGGGCGCCCTCCCCCTCGGCGCGGGCGGCCCCCCAGCCCCCCGGGGCCCCGCGCCCCAGGCCCACCTTTGATGCCAGCCATGGCGGTGACGTCGCTCCTGGCTCCAGGACCCGAGGCGGCGGCGGCGGCGGCCCGGAGACCAGAGACGCGCAGCGGCAGCGGCGGCGGCGGCGGCGACCAGACAACACCCGGAAGTGCGCGACGCACGACTTCCGCCGGCGGCTCGCGCTCGCGCGGGGGCGCGGGGGGCGCGGGGGGCGCGCGGGCCGACCCCTTCCTTCCCGGCGCGGGTCCTCGGCTGGTCGCCGCCCTCGGAGGCTCTCCCCGCGGCCCGTTTCCGGGGCGTTGCTCCTTGGGTGGCGGAAGCCCGGTTCCGAGGCTTCTCTCTGGTCCCCGCAACGTTCCTTCTTCTTGGAGCCGGAGGAGGGGAAGGGGGAGGGGGAAGGGGAGGGGGCCTCGACGCTGGGAGGCGTGGTGTGATGAATTGGCGATCTTCAAAGCGCACCCATTTCTCCCAGCCTTGAAATAAAAAAGTACGGCTAGTCTGTACTTGGCTCCTTGGGTTCCGACCCAGAACTGGGGTTCTGCGAGGCCCAGCCCCTGAGACCGGAGCAGCGGGACACCGGGAAAGGTGGATTTGGTGCAAACGCCATCTCTGGGGAGTCACTCAGAATCGCTGTTATTGTTTTTGTTGTTGTTTGTTTGTTTGGACAAACGGGGCTAGGAAAAAGAAAGCAGCAGAGGTACAAATGCATTTATTTAAGTCATGGTAGAAATTTATTGAACATTTACTATGTTGTCAGCAAAAAAAGGTACGGTTTCTGCCCTCCAGGAGCTTAAAGAGAGAGACAGATTAAAAAAAAAAAAAAAAAGGCGTGGAATTTCGACAATGATACTTGCTAGGAAGATGCGTCAATAGTTTAGGAAAGCCTTCGATTTCGATCAGTCAGTAGATTTCCCAGAGGAAGGAACAAAGGAGGAATGAGCCTGTGTAACTAGACAAGAGGGAAAAGCACTCATTCGGAGGGGATTGTGTTCGTGGAGGGGGTGGAGGTGATGAGCTTGGCCAGCAAACTGCGAGCCTGGAGAAGAGAAAGATCAGTGGGATTGCTGGGTTTTGGGGTGGGCAGTCTGGTTCTACAGCAAGGTCCTGTAGAAGGAGGCCCCGCCCCCTCCTCCCGGCAGTGAGAACCTTTTGAAGGTTTTTAAAAAGATCCTAGTGGAGGTGGGTGACCTACGCAAGATTTGAATTGAAATCTTTTCAGTCATCAGATCAAGATAAACTGGCTTAGAAGACCTTGTGAGTGTGTGGTTAGAAGAAGTATTTCCAACCTGCTTTAAAATGAGAGCTACTGGGGACTAAAGGTACCCTGCTTCCCTCCACTGCTTTCAGGGTTGAATACTTTCAAAAATACAAAATTTCAAACGGGTCTCTTCTTGAGGCTTGATGCCCCAAATAAGCCTAAAGGTGTCTCGTGGAGGAGAATTTTTTTTCTGTTCAGGTTAGCACAAAAAGTTCTGTCGTCTTACCATGAAAAAAGTTTCCATTTAAGGATGGTGGTAGCAAAACCACAAGGCACACTTGAACATACGTTGTGGAAATGTTACTTTTGAGACAATGTGTGAAACCACTAGCTTTGTTTTCTAAATTGAAGCCGACATGTGCTCACCAACCATCTTGGAAGGGGTAGGTAGAATTCCTGGAGAAGCAAAGGATTCCATCCTAAATACTCAGCCACTAACACCTTTTGTTTTGTTCCACAGTATTCCATCCTTGAAAGCAGGGATGTCTGAGAGAACATAGCAGAGAGACAGCTGATAGGTGGTGGTGTATTGGAGAGTGATACATTCTCATCTCATAGGCTCACGGTTTGGCTCATGGAGAAAGGTCACATTTTAGGAAGCCTTATGGAGCTTCCAGAAGCTCTGGTGGCAGAGTTAAAGGCTAGTTTCCTAGTTTCCTCTTGTGAACATGATAGGTTAGGCATTACAGACATTTGTCCTTGATGATGTTATGGACAACTGGGATTTTTTATTTATTTATTTATTTATTTATTTTTAGGTCAGAGGGATCTTTTGCTTCCATAGTCACTGAATCCTAAGAATTTGTGTTCTTTTGACTTTTGCATGAGTTCCACAGAGACCCTAAGGACTATTTTTGGTCTACAGATGTTGTCTAGAGTTACTTGAGATCTTAAAACAGTATGTTCAAAGGTGGTATTTCAAAGACCACCTACAACAGAATTCGTTGGGATGCTTCCTAAAAATGCACTCCAGACATTCTGAATCAGAACTTTTGTGGGCAGAGCCTAGAATCTGAAATTTTAACAAGCACCCTAAAGATTTCCTATGCAAACTAAAGCTTGAAAATAATTTTCTGAAAGGGCTGAATGTTAGTTTTCTTCATCAGTTTGCCAAGTGAATCTTAAACAGTAATGTTCTATCCTTTAAATGTTCTCTACATATTATATAATAATCTTTCATAGGTGCAAAACTTTTTTTTCAGATGGCTTGCTGCCCTCCAAAGTTAATTCACAAAGATGGGGATGAGGGTGAGAGAGAGAGAGCTATTGATTTAATCTGATTTAATTCTTACAATTTTGTTAATTTGGAATTACTCTTTTTAAAGTTAAACATATTTGTATTGATTTTTAGAAAGAGAGGAAAAGAAAGGGAGAGAGAGATAGAAACATTGATGACAGAGAAGTATCGATTGGCTGACTTATGCATAGTCCACACCAGGGATTGAATTTGCAACTCGGGCACGGGCCCTGACCAGGGACTGAACCAGTAACCTCTTGGTGCATGGGTCAGCACTCAGCCACTAAACCATACCAGCTGGGTGGAATTACTAATGCTTACAGATCAAGTCAGAGAAACCTCAGAGAAGAGTTTAGTTGTAGTATTTTTTTTTTTAAGTTAAAAAAACCCCCTCTTTATTATGGAAAATTTTTAAATATATAAAAGGTAGTTAAATAGTATAATGAATTTCCATGTTCCATCACCTATCTTTAATAGTTAACACATTATTAATGTTTTATGTATACTCCCCATCAACTTCTCCCCACCTATTATATTATTTTGCCCATATTATTTTGAGGGAAATTCCGGATATAATTTTTTTATCTTTAATAATTCAATATTTCCGAAAGGATTCTTAAAAATAACATAGTCAAAATACATATATCCCATTTAAAAAATGATTTTTAGTACAATTGTACTAGATTCTTTTTAAAAATATATATTTTATTGATTTTTTACAGAGAGGAAGCGAGAGAGATAGTTAGAAACATTGATGAGAGAGCGGCATCGATCAGCTGCCTCCTGCACACCCCCTACTGGGGATGTGCCCACAACCAAGGCACATGCCCCCGACTGGAATCAAACCCGGGACCCTTCAGTTTGCAGGCTGACGCTCTATCCACTGAACCAAACCGGTTTCGGCTATACTAGATTCTCTCTCTCTCTCTCTCTCTCTCTCTCTCTCTCTCTCTCTCTCTCTCTCTTTTAATATATTTTATTGATTTTTTTGCCCCCCTCCCTTCCATACACACCCTCCCTCCCCAGAGTTTTATGTCCATTGGTTTGTACTAGATTCTTTAATATAACATTTGTGCACTTGAGGGGGTCCCCTCAGCCCACCACCACAGCTGCACTTGCCAGCTGTGAGCCCTGCTTTTGGCTGAGCTGCGCTCCCCCTGTGCTAGCGCACGATCACCAAAGGACAGCTCCTGCATTGAGTGTCTGCCCCCTAGTCGGAAATGCCATCATAGTGACCAGTTGTTCCACTGCTTGGTCTATTTGCATGTCAGCCTTTTATTATATAGGATTGCCTAGCTTTGTGTCCCTTTGCCACTTCAACATAAGATCCATGAGTACAGGGACCTTGGCTGTATCCTCCATGCCTAAAACAGTAGCTGACACATATTAGGTGTTCAATATATATATGTGTGTGTGTGTGTGTGTGTGTGTGTGTGTGTGTGTGTGTGTGTTCAATGAGAGAAACAGGCCTGTCAGACCTCTAAGATGTTGCCTCTGCACTCTTAGAACTCTTTTCTTTGTCCAGTTCTTTATTTGGGCAGTAGTTTCTCTTCTGTAAATTACTGCCACCACACACAACGGAGGCTCTAAGCCGCTGAAAAGCAGACTATATTTCCATGCCACCTATCACTCGAATTCTCTCTGAATGTAGCAAACAGTAACAGAACGCGAATAATGGGCCAGGAGCTATGCTGGGTGCGTCCCTGGGGAAGGTTATTGAGATTTTCCTAGATTTTTGTCTTGGGATGGTTTCACTCCCACCACCGCACCTACGCCATCTTCTAGGCCCCGCCCACAGCATTGCATCATCCGTTTGGCTCCGCCCCCAACGACGGGGCCCTGTCACTGAGGGGCGGGGCCAGATGCTTCCACCCAGGCTCCCCCGCGAGCGCGCGCAGCAGCGACAGTGACGTGAGGCCGGCGCGGACCGTCGCAGCGGCTGAGGCTCAGCGGACGGACCTCTTCCCTCCTCCGCGGCTGGAGTTCCTGGCGTCACTGAGCACCTGCGCGCGGGTTTCCACAGCCCCGGTTCCCTCCGCGAGTGCCTGGCGGCCGCGCACCACCTTCGCCCAGCGCCATGGCCGCGGCCGGGGGGCCCGGAGCGGACGGACGCAGTCCTCTGCTCGGCCTCCTCTTGCTTCTGATGGCGGGCCCCGCCCTGGGCTGGAACGACCCCAGTGAGTGCTGTCTCCCTTCGCTCGCCCCTTCCTTCCTACCGCGGGGAGCCCGCTCCGGGAGGCCCCTCGGGCGACACCATTTTCCTTCCCTTGAGCTTTGCTGCCCTAATTCCTCATTTTCTTCCCCTTTCACTGTTTGTTGATCGGTGCCCTGCGCGGCGCCTTTTCTCTTCCCAGACCTCCGACGGGAGAGCGGGGACTGTTGGGGGAGTTGGTGGGACGGGACGAACGACTCTGGATTCTGAACGTCCCCTTCCTTCCTTCTCTGGACGCCTAGAGTTTGTCCGGCGTCACTGTGCTCGGGCCACGGCCCACATCCGGGTGTCTGGCGGGGAAAGCGCGAGGCACACCTGCGCTTCTCGCTCTGTTGTCATGACTACCTGGTGTCGCTGGCCGTTGTCATGGCTGCCTGTTGCTAAGGCTGGCAGTTCCCTGGACACCGGCCGCGTCGGAGTCACACTGAAGGGACAGGGTTTCAGCCAGCCTGCGGGTAGGTTAGCAGGGCATAGATTTGAGCTTAACTCATGCTTCTTATTGTGACCATTACAGTGAAGCACATGGCGTTACGCTAGCTCTTCTTACTGTTTTTCACCATGTTCTAGAATTTAAGTAGTATTTCCATCTTACAGTTTTTTTTTGTTTTTTTTTTTGTGAAGGAACATGATAGTGATTTTTTAGGAAAAAGGTTCTTTTATATTACTATTAATATGTTATTAACGATTTTTTGTGGGGTCAATAATATTGTAATTAATATATGCACATGGTGTATATATGTATATCACATACATACAGATTTCCACTTAATAAATGATGTGTGCTGTTAAATTGGAATTAAAGTACGACGCTTAAATGTTTAAAATTCCATTTTTGTTCTAAGGAGTCAAGATGTTAAGGCCCCGTGGGAAGTGTACCAATATTGCATTTGTGATTTGGTGATAGGAAATGCCTATATTTTTGAACTTAAGCAGATTTTCTCTCCCCCCCTTCCCATCTTTTTGCTCTGTTTTCTAGGAAATTTTGTTATCTTTAACTTTTAATAGTTACTATTGAGTTTTTCATCTCAGTTGCCCTGATTTGAATTTCCAAGAGCTCTTGGTTTTTTTTTGTTTTTTTTTTTAACAACTTTGAGGATATCATAGCTTTAAAACATTTTTTAAAAGTTTTCTTCTCTCAGTATAGTCTCTCGTTCCTCCAAAGTGTTTTTGTGGTGGTTGTATCCCATGTTAAGGGCTTTCCTCATAATTTTTAGCAATTCCTGTCTATCTGCTCTAAATCAAGAGTGGGAACCAAAAAGCTGATTGGAAGCTATTAGTGTATGATTACTGCTTTTGAACTTTGAACTTTATTGGGGGGTGACTTAATGACTTTAGGTATGCTTGGGTAGTTCTTGGTTTTGGTATATTTAAATATTTCTTTTTTGGTTAGGCCACAAAGGGAATGGTTGCTAGTGTTTTGTGAACCAGGTGGGGAAAGAGGGTCATGCTTTCAAGAGTCATGCAGTTGTTTGGAATCCCTTTTATGTTTTTGTACCTATGCCCTCTATTTCTGTATCCATCCCGAAATGATGAAGGGGGCCTTAAAGGTGTGACCACCTGAATTTTGTGCAAGAAGCCTGAAAGTTGTTGGTATGGCTTTGGGAGAATGTTTCATCTCTTTCTTAGTCATCCTCAAAAGGCGAGAAAGAGCCTTACTTTTCAAAATATTTAATATTTAATGAAAACATTCAAAGAGTTTTATTTGATTAATTTTCTAAGTTTGGCAAGATATTTACTATATGATTATCTGTGTTCTTATGTTTCAGACAGAATATTGTTGCGGGATATACAAGCTCTTACCCTCCACTATGATCGCTATACCACCTCCCGCAGGCTGGATCCAGTTCCACAGCTGAAATGTGTTGGAGGCACAGCTGGATGTGATACTTACATCCCAAAAGTTATACAGTGCCAGAACAAAGGCTGGGATGGTTACGATGTACAGGTAATATTCATTACATTGATGTCCGTCTAAATGGGATTTTTATTTAATAAAGTGTTTATTAGGACATTATTCAATATTTTGCGGAAGCATATATAGAAAATCTCAGTTTAACCTAAAATATAAAGACATAAATCAGTCATTTATTCTCTGGAAGAAACATGCTCCAAAAGAAATGAACTGATTTTAAAGCCTGGAAATATTTATTGTAATGGTCCTATAATTTTCTCTAAGATGTTAGTAAATTTTCAAAGCTTTTCACATACTTGGAGGGTGTAGAGGATTTCTCCTGGGTGTCATTTTTGTCATTTCTTAAGGAATACCAACCTGCCCTTAAGAAGTAAAGTTAAGGTGATAAGGAATTGTAGGTTGTAAATGGGATATATGTGTCCCTTTTGTGCTTCATACACTTGATTCTAAAGTTGCTTTGGAGCTGAGGGTGGCTGCTCTTGAACAAAAGCATTTCCGTGGGCTTTATTTGTTGTCTTTGGGACTCTGGCATTTTGTATTATACTTAGGCTGGACCATCTTTTTGAAGTTCCAACATTTATTCTTTAGAAATTTATTGAATGAATTCATTTTAAATCAGTACTAATATATTTCTACTTTGTATGCTGCTTGCTTTCAAAAGAATTTAAGATAGTTGGTTATTTGCAAGAAACTTGTGTTGATAATTGCCACTTCCATCAGCATGATAATTATTATTATTATTATTTTTTTTAAAATATATATTTTATTGATTTTTGTACAGAGAGGAAGGGAGAGAGATAGTTAGAAACGTCGATGAGAGAGAGAGTTATCGACCAGCTGCCTCTTGCACACCCCCAGCTGGGGATGTGCCCGCAACCAAGGTACATGCCCTTGACCGGAATCGAACCCGGGACCTTTCAGTCCTCAAGTCGATGCTCTATCCATTGAACCAAACCGGTTTTGGCAGCATGATAATTATTTATAGTATGTGGACCGGGGGGTCACAGTTCAATTCCCATTCGGGGTATGTTGCCTGGTTTTCGGACTTGATCCCCAATGTGGGGCATGCCGGACGTGGCTGATCAGTGATTCTGTCCATCATTGATGTTTCTATCTCTCTCTCCCTCTTCCTTCCTTTCTGAAATCAATGAAAATATATTGGAAAAAACCCCCCACATAAAAACTCAGTGGTCTGTGCAGTTCAGAGAGAGTTCATATTCAGTTCCAAAAATGTAAATATAATTAGAGCCATTTTTAATATACACTAGAAAGAAAGTGACAATTAACATGAAATACCAAGAGATTTTGCTTATTTTATTTACCCGAATTAGCAAGCTTATAAATCTTCCTCCAATTAAAATTATTTAAAAAAAATGTAGCATCAACAAAGACACCAAAATAGAAAAATTGCATTATTCAAATTAAAAACTTTTGGTCTTCAAAGGACACCATTAAGAAAGTGAAAAGACAACCTATACAATGGGAGAAAGCTTTTGCAATATCTGATAGAGGACTTATATTTAGAACTAGAGGCCCGTTGCACGATATTTCTGCAAGAATAGGCCTTCTTCCCCTTGGATTTGCTCCTGGCCGCCCGGGAGCCAGCAAGTCCCCGCTCCCAGGCTGCCCTGGAGCTGCCAAGTCCTTGCTTCAGGGCTGCCTGGGAGCTGCCAAGTCCATGCTCCAAGGCTGCCCGGGAGCGGTCAGGCTGGTAGGTATCATGCACACTGACCACCAGGGGGCAGATGCTCACCCTCAATGCAGGAGCTGCAGCGCTGCAGTGACTTGGCAGCAGTGGTTCTCATGTGATGCACTCTGGAACCAGAGAGGAGGGAGCCCAATCCCCGCAGGCCAGGCTGAGGGACCCTACCTGCTGGAGGGACTCTGCTTACTCTGCAGACGCCCTTCGAGCCCTGGCGCTGCCCCTGGTACAGCCGGCTGGGGAGACACCATGGGAGGTTGGTTCCACGGCATATCTGGACCGTCTCTCGCCCACTTCTGCCCTGCCAGCCACCTTCTAATTAATTTACTTTCAATGTGCATGAATCCGTGCTCCGGGCCTCTAGCATCTCAATAAAGCTTTTATAAAAAAATAAAAGAGTGTACCTGAAGTTTGAGAGATCATTTGTCTTTCTCTTACAGAAAAACTTACAGATAGGTAATAGAACCAATCAAATCTATTTTAGCTTGTGTCTCTTTAAATGTTGTTAAAAAGAGGCATGTTACTTATTTAGCTCAAAATATAGTTTGGAATTTAATTTAACTTAGGCTATTTTTTAAGGTGGAAAATTTTGAGACTAGTGTGGATTCTTTTTGCATTTTTTGAGATATCTTTTTTAAAAAAAATGTAAGAGAATTACTTAGGATTGGACCCTGGAACATTAGTGTAGGGTTTTAAAAACATTTGTGTCAAAAGTTTTCTCAGAAGGTTGTATGCTATCTCTAATACTGTATGTAGTTACCATAGCTTCATATATGATGCTGATTTTTGAGCCTCATCATTTAAAACCTATTTTAAAAGCATCTTGAACAATAGTGGTAAAAAGTTCAAATTTAGAAAATTTGCTTAAAGTTTGTAAATTAGGGAATCCTTAATATGTACAAAATAATTCCTTACATCTAAATGTAAAGATGAAGGAATAATAATCAAATGAACACTTAGGTACCCACCACCAAACTTAAGAGGTAGAATATTAACATCACCAGTATCTTCAAGGCCTCTAGCTTGCTCTCCTCCCAACACAGAAATATTTATTGTTCAGAACTTTATCATTTCTTTGCTTCATTTTGCAGTTTTATGGCAGTTAGGTAACCCAAATGATAATATATTAAGTGAAAAAAAATCTTTTGGTTCTAATAACTTATTTCTTCTTTTCTTCACAGTGGGAATGTAAGACTGATTTGGATGTTGCATACAAATTTGGAAAAACTGTGGTGAGCTGTGAAGGCTATGAATCCTCTGAAGACCAGTATGTACTAAGAGGCTCCTGTGGCTTGGAGTATAACTTAGATTACACGGAACTTGGCCTGAAGAAATTGAGAGAGTCTGGAAAAAACAGTGGCTTTAACCAGTTCTCTGATTATTATAAAAGCAGTTCCAGTGGCATCAGTGGACTGGTTACCATCGTGGTGTTACTTGCTATTGCCTTTGGAGTTTATAAGTTGTTCCTTGGTGGTGGTCAAGATTCTCCTCCACCATACTCCGAGAATCCTCCGTTTGCTCCCGGTTTTCAGGGATTCACCAACTCAGCAGGACCCCCTCCTCCGGGCTTTAAGTCAGGGTTCACAGGTATGCTTGCTGAGGCAAGGGCACTATGTAGGGTAGGTGTGAGCTATGAATCCTGTGCAGTTTCTGAAATGAAAAATGGTTGCCACAGGGAAACTAAGCAGATTTGTCTTTGCATTTTATTTTTTACGTTCAACTTCTTTTATCTTTTTTTTTGTGTGTGTGTTTCTCTATAATGATATTTGTGATCACCATTTTAAGGATTCGTGATTAAATTATAAATCATCTTAATCAGAAAAATATGATCAGATTTGGTAAAAAGCATTTACCTTTTTAAAACTTTAAAAAAAAATTTTCACTTGAGGGTGATGTTGCATTGATTTTTAGAGAGAGTAGAAGAGAGGTGGAAAGACAGAGAAATATTGATGTGAAAGAAACACTGATTGGTTGCCTCCTGCACGTGCCAGAGAGGAGTCTGCAACTGAGATACGCACCCTTGACTGGAATAGAACCTGGGACCCTTCAGTCCGCAGGCGGATGCTCTGTCTACTGAGCCAAACCTGCTAGGGCTTTAAACATTTACCTTGAACTCTTGTCCCACACCATACATAAAAATTTATTCAGGTATTATAGATCTCAACATAAAAGGTAAAAAATTAGTTTTTAGATAAAAATGTAGGAGAAAATATGCATATATATTGTTTTTTGTAGGAAAACATTTGTCATGATTTTGGGATAGGCAAAAGTATCTTAGAACACCAAAAAGTACTATCCATGAAAGAAAAGATGTATAAATTAGACTATTTAAATTAAGAGTGAAAAGGCAAGCTACATACTTGGAGAAAATATTTATAAGACATGTATCTAACAAAGGGTACATATCTAGAATATATAAAGAACTACAAATCTAAGAAATTCACTTTTAACAATGGACAGGATTTGAACAGATATGTTATAATAAAGAGGATATCTAGATATCCAATAAAAAATGAAAAGGTGTTTAGCATTATTAATCTGAAAAATGCAGATTAAAAGCATAGTGAATTCATTATTAACCACTATACTAGTAATGGCTAACATAATATACTAAGTAATCAACTGAGGGTAGTCAGCTAGTACTTGCTGGTAGGAGTTAGAATGGTATCTCCTAAATGTACACCTACTCTATGACCCAGCAGTTACATTCCGTGATACTTAAGAGAAATGCATGTATACATACACAAAATAACACGCACAAGAATGTTCATAGCAGGTTTATGCATGGTAACTGAAAACTATAAATGGGATGTCCAGAAACATTAGAATGAGACAAACTGTGCTTTCTTTTAACATAATGGAATACCACACATTATTTTTTAAAAGTCCAAAACCTAATATATACAATAGTAAGACTGACTCTCATAGACGTGATTTACCAGACACAAACGGGTACCTACCATATGATTCCATTTATAAAGAGTGAACGTATGGCTAAAACTAAAGTTTGGTGAAAAAAGTCAGAGAAAGGCTTATCTCTGATGTGGGTGGGTATCTATTGAGAACGGTCACGAGGAGGAAGCCTGTGTGCTAGAAATGTTTTATGTGAGTAGCAGTTACATGTGTAAGTACATATGTATAAATTTATTACATTTCACACATTTGGCTTGCATACTTTATGTATATTATACATTAATTTAAAAAAACGTCCTCTGAGCAGAAGACACCTTTTTGGTTCCTTTAAGACCTGACTTCCCAACTGATGCTGCCTCCACTTGGGTTCCTCCATTAGACACTCAAGCATACCTGGTGCTTTTAGAAATGTTCATGATGCAGAAGGGAAGTAACTGATAACTGGGAGTCATCTTCTAGTAGCTCATCTTAAGCAGGACAAATGTGACCTTATAGGAAGACACCTCATTCTAAAATAAATTGTTATGAATCTATATTTTACTAAAACACTTTTTAAATATATATATTTTTATTGATTTTTTACAGAGAGAAAGGGAGAGGGATAGAGAGCTAGAAACGTCGATGAGAGAGAAACATCGACCAGCTGCCTCTTGCACACCCCCTACCGGGGATGTGCCCGCAACCAACGTACATGCCCCTGACCAGAATCAAACCTGGGACCTTTCAGTCTGCAGACCGACGCTCTACCACTGAGCCAAACCGGTTTCGGCTAAAACACTTTTTAAATGCAACTTGTTTATAGGTTGAGGCCTGAGTACTAGTAAAAAATAGTGCTGCAGACAATGTGGCGAAGGGCTGGGGGAGGGGGTGGAGGCTGAGTGGAGTGGGGCATGGGGGACATCTGTAACAGTGCCAACAATAAAAAATAGTACAGATGAAGTATCCCATTGAAATATCCCATTATCTTTGGTTCTATAGGCTATGTTTTGTTTAAATAAGGATACTTAATAAATAATTTTTATTTCTAGGAATGCCTGGTGCAACTTACGGTTTTAGCAGTGCTTTCACAGGGCAACAAGGAAATACAAATTCGGGACCAGGTTTCTGGACTGGCTTGGGAACTGGAGGAATACTAGGATATTTGTTTGGCAACAATAGGTATGCTTTGCATTTATCTCACTTGGTCTTTAATTCAAATTTTCTATAGAGAGTTCTTTATTTTGCTTATAGTTTGACTGGATTTGATAAGGAAAATAAATTATGATGAATTACCCTTATTAAACCAGGTTCTTTGGCGATGGGGAAAGGTATACTATATGTGCCGTGATCAGTATTGTGTAGTATGTTATTTTCTTATATTTCTTCTTCCTAAGTCATTCATTAAAAAAAAAAAAATAAATTATATCTATCTATCTATCTATCTATCTATCTATATATATATGATTTATTTTTATTTTATTTTATTGACTTTTTACAGAGAGGAGGGGAGAGGGATAGTGAGTTAGAAACATCGATCAGTTGCCTCCTGCACATTCCCCAATGGGGATGTGCCCGCAACCAAGGTAGATGGCCTTTGATTGGAATTGAACCTGGGACCCTTCTGTCCCCAGGCCAATGCTCTATTCACTGAGCCAAACCGGTTAGGGTTCCTATCTCATTCTTAAAGATAACACGAGATAGGAAAAATATTTTACTTGACATCTGATAAAATAATTAGACAGGAAAGAACAATATTTGAGGAATTGTTAGCAATTCTGGTTTGGTAGGAGAATGATAGAAGTAAGGTTAGAAGAAACTTAGGGGCAGATTTTGGAATGTCTTCAATATTATTGGTAGTTTAAGTTTAGATTTTATTTAAGTTTGAATTCAAAAAGAAAGCTGTTTCTCCCTTTCATTTTCTTCCCCCATGGCAATGACCATAACAATATCAGAATATAAAACAGTATTTAATTCATGTAATCCTAATGTACCAGAATATTGAAGAAAAAACACAATAAAGATTAAAAAAAATATATATATATATATTTTATTGATTTCCACAGAGAGGAAGGGAGAGGGATAGAGAGCTAGAAACATCCATGAGAGAGATTCATCAATCAGCTGCCTCTTGCACACCCCCTACTGGGGATGTGCCCGCAACCAATGTACATGCCCTTGACCGGAATTGAACCCGGGACCCTTCAGTCCCCAAGCCAACGCTCTATCCATTGAGCCAAACCGGCTTCGGCCACAATAAAGATTTTTATCTGATAGTGTAGGAATAGGAAGGTATTTAAAAATTAAAGGCACAAGAAAAATACTTGATACACTTTTTGTTTTTATAGGGGAGCAACACCCTTTTCAGACTCATGGCACCACCCATCTTATCCCTCATACTTCAGCACAGGAAACAGCCGTGCTTACTCCCCGCGTTGTGGAGACTCCCGTAACTACTCAGCATGTTCAAGTTCAGAGACAAAAACCAGAACAGCATCAGGTAAGAGCAAAAATTTAGAAGTTCAGAAGATGATTAACTATATTTAGCAATCATGGTTTTATTTGGTATAAACACCAGAAATATTAATAGCACAATTAACTGAAGTTAAAATATAATTCAAATTCATTCTTTTCATGCACTTCTAAATGTTCTTTAAAAATCAAACAAAGATTTGATTTAAACTTCTGCCACTAACCACGGTTTTAACTGAAACCTTCCTAGACATTGGTTTCCATATTTGCTTAGTTCTGTGATATCTAGAGAAAAGGAGAAACTTGAACTTTTAAAGTTCAGTAAAACTCAATAAAAATTGAGCCATATTTTAAGTAATTTTCAAGATTTTGATTATAATGTTACAGTTGCTAAGAGGACATTTTGCCAAAAGCAAAGATTTAAAAACAACTATTTGGAGTTAAACATCCAGCTAATTAGCAGAGAATGGGAAGTGATAGGTAATGAGGCAATAATGGAATGCTGTGTATCGAGTGTCTTCTTCAGCAGGGGGAAGTTATAGAACAATGATTCATTCTTAAAATTGGCAGAATATATTTAAATATGATTTGAAATGTAAGAGTGGAATTCTAATGCTGCTGTGAATATAAATTAATACAATCACTTTGAAAAACTGGCATTAACTAATTAAACTAATATAACTAATGTGCTGATAAAAATTCTTTTCACTCTCAGATTTATAGTAACAGAAATGCATATGCTTGTATACCAATAGATAAGTACAGGAATGTTCATAGCATCCCTATTCATAATAGCCTCTTACTGGACTACCCATCAGCAATGAAATGGCAAATAAATTAAATTATTCATACTATGGACTACTGTGCAACAGAGAGAATGAATACATAGTTGTATCCAATAATGTGGGTACGTTTGCCAAATAGAAAGAAAGAAACTAGGCACAAAAGAATATATATGGTAGGATTATAACATTCATATTTATAAATATACACGTTTAAAAACAAGCAAAACTAACCTGTGAAGTTAGATACTAAGGTTATAATTGGGACATAACAAAAGAAAACTCATTCTCAGTGGGAACAAAAATTATAAAAACCATTAAGTATCAATTAGAAATGTAAGGGACTTATATGGAGAAAATCATAAAACATTACCAAATAACTTAAAGAAAACCTGAAAAAAATCAAGAGACGTTTCAGGTAGGAACACTATCATTTTGTAATCTGGTAGCACGTGGCCATTGGAAAGTCCGAAACTCTCCCACATTATTTCTATGGATCCCTGGAGTTGTGAGAGGTGGTAGAACATGGCTTGGGCTCCATTGGCTTCCCTGCTTTTTGGCTTAGACTTTGAGTATTGCCTGAACCACATTGACCCCAACATAAACTACATCTTTGATTTACTGGACTAAAGGTTATTCGCTGCAAGCAACTTGAGAGGACTTGGTGAAAGGATGGTGGGAGGGCTGTTTTGGGGAGGACCTGCACTTGATTGTGCATAGCCCTCTTCCATCAGGGCTCACATTCCTTTCCGCATGTCTCTTTTATTCACTTGCTAGCAATAAAATGTATTATGTATTATGTTGTAATTTTATAAGCGATTCTAGTGCATTTAAAAAATAATATAAATTTTACTCTTCTCATTTAGGATATGGCGGTACCAAAAGACGATAAGAAAGCAAAAAGTTGAAGTCAAACACTGGATGCAAAATTCCTGATTTTTCATCACTTTCTCTTAAAAAGTGCTACCAGCTAACAACTGGGAAGGGGAAATATTAAAACATTCTGTGGTGTTTTGTCTTGTGTAGCTTTTTGTATTTTATCATTTAGTGAAACTAAGAGTTGATATTGTGACAAAATACTTATGTAGAAAATTCTATTAGTGTAACATGCAGGTGTTATAGTTTTTGAAAGTGATGATTACTGTAGATTGCTGAAAATGTATTGTTTAATTTCTAAAAACTGATGCCATGAGAAGCATTAAGAAAGAAAGCTTTATACCAACAGACATTGAGTATATAAAATTTCAATCTGGTTTTTGTTCATGATTCATAACCTCATAGAAACAGTAATATATTTGGTGTTTGCTGTTTTCAAATATTTAAACCAAGCTTTGAACTACTATACTAACTTGTGGGATTCGAACTATTATACTAATTTGTGGGAATTGATCACTTTGAGTTCAGGAGCTTTGAATCCTTCCCATGGTGGTGGGGTTCTGTTGAGAATTACCTTTGTTAGGAAAAGGTAGGAAAAAAATAAGTATCTAGAAGTTTGTTGTGACTAATTGTGTGCTGATAAAAATTCTTGAAATCTCCTTATTCATTTCTCAAGAAGTGAAGTCCAAATGCTTCAACCAAAGTCTTTAATAGCCAGAGCATGCATTTCTGTGTGGAACCTCAAATATTGTTGTAGCAGTTTCAGTCTTACATTAAAGTGACAAAAACAAAAACAAGGGTTTTTATTCTTACTCTTTTTACCTGCTTTAGACACAAACTGATGTTACCTTTGTACCATTTCCCCCAAAATTGCTTCATGCAGACATTCTAACCCACTAAACAGTAATTTCCCATGGAAATCTAGCCTTAGTTACCAGACATTTGGTAAATGTTCTCAAACAAGTAATTTGGAAATTGTGGAAGGAAGCCTCTGCTAAAAATTGCTTAAAAAAAAAAAAAAAAAAAAAAGAGAGAGAGAGAGAAACAATTAAATCTCCCAGCTTCCAAAGGTTGCACAGTCTGTCTGAAGCTGTAACCTTAAAGTCTCATTTTTACTTTTTAGGAACCATTTAGAAACAAACCCTTATTTAGACTTTAAAATGTGATTTAGGGAGTAGTTGGAAGAGTACTGTGAATAGAGCTATCCTTTTTTCATCAGTAAAACTTGGTAGAAATTTTTATTTATGTTACAGAGGAAACAATTTTTCCTCAGGTTTATTGCAATAAATCCTTATCCTATTTTTTTTTTTTTAGTAGAAAGATGTGCAATAAAAGAAAATCCAGCTTATTGCCTCCCCCGTCCCCCATTTGCTTATTCTTACTTTTTTTTTTGCTACAGGAATTGATAATCTTGCATTGAATAGGTTTTACTTGGAGAGCAAAGTGAAAAATTTTAATTTAGAACTGTTATAAATTGGGCTGATAATAGTGATCTGCACATTAAATTTGCTGTTCTTAAAACACTGCTCAGATTTCTGTTTTTGAATATGTTATTGTAAATCACTGGGATCATAGGAAAATAATGAGTGAATACAGAGTTAGCGAAATTGGTGACTTGGACTCCTCTCAGGAACCCTAGGGTATTCTTTGATGCTCTTTCAGAGTCTGCCTGGAGGGAAGATAAGGAAAGAAGCTGAGCGTGTAGGGCTTAATTTACCGTATTTTTCGGACCATAAGACGCACTTTTTTCCCCCAGAAGTGGGGGGAAAAAGTCCCTGCGTCTTATGGTCCAAATATAGCCTTTCACATATACTTAAAAAAAAAAGTTTTTTTACTTGCCCGGCTCTGTGTGGTCTCTGTGTGCTTGCCCGGCTTTAAAATGGTTCTAAATGCTGCTGTTTACTTTACAGGGTTGATTACATGTGTTTATGACTGTGATGTTGGGTTTTAATGCACATAAAATATTTTAGGACACTATTTGTTTCAGAATCTTTTTTTCTTCATTTCCCTTCTCTAAAAACTGGTGCGTCTTATGGTCCGAAAAATACGGTAATATCCTCTCCTCACCCCCCTCCCCTATATGTTTATACTTCCTTGTTATTTATGGAAAAGATTCTGAGGTATTACCTTCAAAATCCAAGACTTGGAGATGAAAAGACAGTTTGACTGGGCTCCCTTGGAGAATTGATGGCCCAGGGAAGTCCTTCAGTTGGGAGCTCGGTGTGACTGGGAAGGCATGAAAAGGAGAAAGTAGAGAGGTGAAAGGGAGCTAAGGTAAGTTTTACTCAAGGATTCAGCAGAACATTTTGGATGGAAGGATGAGATTTTTATTTTTTAGCTAGTTATGCTACTCTAGTTCTGGGCATGGTTCCCTCTGCAGCTCCTTGATCTCTACCATTCTGATTCCTATCCCCCAAGGCTGTCCTAAGTTTTTTAAAAAAATAGACAGTCCTCAGGTTAAGTCGGACTCGACCTATGTCGTTTCGTGGTTACATCGCTATCTCCCTCTTATTTATATATAAAAAAAGGTTACGTCATTTCGACGTATGTACATATATGCATTATGTTTTTTATTATTTACCACAAATAAAGGTCAGGAATTGTTATCTTGCTTTTAAATTTTTTTTTTTTTTTTTTTTTTTTTTTTTTTTTTTTTTTTTTTTTTTTTACTGTTTCACTTCATTACTGCTGTGTTGGTGCTTCATGTGAGTGATGTAGGTGCTTATGTAGGTGGGTTCCGACTTATGGCTAAAATCGGATCTCCGATGTAACCTGAAGACCTACTGTATATATTGATTTCCGAAAGGAAGGGAGAGGGAGAGAGATATATAGAAACATCAATGATGAGAATCGCTGATCAGCTGCCTCCTGCACGCCCCCTACTGGGGATCGAGCCTGCAAGCCAGGCATGTGCCCTTAACCAGAACGGAACCCTTTGGATGCTTCAATCCAAAGGCGGACGCTCTATTCACTGAGCTAAACTGGCTAGGGCAAGACTGGCTTAAATTTATCTATTGCTCTTCCGTAACACATGGTACACACTTTTACCATTGTACACAGTATGTTGCACTGTAATTACCTTTTCAGTGTAGGTCTTACTGTTCTGAGCTCCTTACAGAAAGGTGGCAAATATTACTTCTTCCTACCCATTTTGTTGCTGGAGGGTTGGGTGGGTGAAATTCTGTTGCTAGTGGGGCTGGGGTTCTTAGGGTACCGCTGAAATAAGAATTTCTGGAGGCCTCCATGGGAGGATGAGATGTGGTAGAAAGCTTTATTTGCATGGAGTTCTATCCGCTGGCAAAGTCTCATTGTCTTTAAACCAGTCTTGGAAAATAAGCAGCTGGGGGTTCAGTAGAGCTAAAAGCAGAACCAGTGTCAGAGTTTCCATTCCATGGTGGCGCTAACTCTGGCAGAGCGTCAGGCTAGTCTAGTCCATCAGCCCATTGCGTGTGGGATCCACATGGCTGTGGAGTCCATATGGCTGTGGGCTACGGGGGCTAGTGCACAGCGAATGAGTCCCACAAGCCAGGAGTCAGGTGCTAGCAAGAGAGAGCTTTTTTGTTAAGGAGTTAAATATCTCAGATTTCAAGCCTTTGCAGTGGCCATGCCTTTTCTGGCCACTGACTCCCAGGTGTGACTAATGTAAGCATCTTCCCATGTCACCCAGACCTTCCTGGGCATGTGACTTCCCCCAGCAGTCTTCAGGGGGAATGTTAACTGCAGCTTTCTGGCAAAGCTGTATAAATGGCATACCTATATTGCTTCTTTCCTGTTAAATAATAACCAAGTTATTATAATGGTATCATTTGCCGGGAGGGTATGATCATGTGACTAAATGTTGTCCATTAGAGGCTTTTCCTTCCAGGTCTTTGACGGTAGTGGCACAAAGACCCGAAGACAATTAAGTGATTATTTCCAGTGGTGGTTCTTAGGGAGACATTTGAACTGGGTAGGTGCTGTGCGTTGTAGGTCTCACCTGGGTCGTTGGCTGCCCGAGTGCCCCTGCCTGAAAACCTGCCTCTTCCTAAGCCTGGTTTGCCAGCCTTTCCATCACTCTGTGAAGTATTTGATATATATGTTAATAAATTCCTTTTCTGCCCAATTTACATGTCATTTTGTTTGCTATGAAAAACTTCATATGTATGGTGAATCTCCTAAGATTATTTAATTTTCAGCAACAGATTCCGGCTAATTGTGGTTGACTCTCAACATCTATTCTTCCCTGTTGATTTGGTCTCTAAACCAATGGTTCTCAAACTGGAAAGAGCATCAGAATCATTGAAGGGTTTTGTGTATAGGTTGCTTGGCTCTACCCTCTGGCTCCAAGTTTCTGATTTAATAGGAATAATAGTTTTATGTGTCAATTTGGCTAGGTTATAGTTCCCAGTTATTTGAATACTAATATAGGAATTGCTGTGAAGGCATTTTGTAGATGTGATTAATGTGTACAATTGGTTGACCTGAAGTGAAAGAAATTATCTTTGATGATATGGGCCAGTGGTCGGAAACTCATTGGTCAACAGAGCCAAATATCAACAGTACAATGATTGAAATTTCTTTTGAGAGCCAAATTTTTTTAATCTTAAACTTCATCTAACGCCACTTCTTCAAAATAGACTCGCCCAGGCCGTGGTATTTTGTGGAAGAGCCACACTCAAGGGGCCAAAGAGCCGCATGTGGCTCTGGAGCCGCAGTTTGCCGACAACAGATATGGGTAATCTGATCCAGTCGGTCGAAAGGCCTCGTGAGTGGAACTAACATTTCCTAGAGAGGAAATTGTACCGGGGATGGAAGCTTCCGATAAAGAGTAGCACCTGCTCTTCCTGATGGCCTCCCTTATGGATTTTGGACTTGCTTAGCTGGCCCCCACAATTGTGTAAGCCAGTTCCTTCCAATAAATCCCTCCATATGTGTCTGCTATTGGTTCTGTTTCTCTGGTTGAACCCTGACTGACACAGATTTTGGGGTTAGAATTGATTCTGGAGAAACAGAATATTAAGGATGAGTTTTTTTGAATTGGTTCTTGGTTTTCTGGAATATGTTTTCTAACCGGTTTAAATTGAAAGGCACTCATGACTATTTCCAGTGGCAAAGGGGATGACGGTTATTCATAGACTCAGCAGCAGAGACTTGCCCTCTCTGAAACTGACCTGGCTGCAGCCATGCTGAGGGACCCACACTGAGCTCTGGTTGTGGTACCTTTTCCTGGGGGGGCAGGGAGGTGGACCAGGGAATTAGTTGCCTTGATTCTATTAGATCACTTCTATCACCGTTGTCATTGGAATAGCCATTTACTCTAGGTTGAATTTGTCTTTCCCATTGGAAATGCTTCTTGTAAAATACACGATATGTGGGTTTACAGAATGCCTTAGTAAGCATGGCACTGTTCCGAATTGCATTGCTTCATAGTGAATGAAGTGCAGCAGTGAACCATAGCCACATATTTCATGGGGGCCTCTATTGTCTCTTGGTCCTAAAAGCATGAAGTCTTCACAGTATTGTTAGTTCTGAGATGCCTTCAGGAAAATGTCTTTTCCCATTTTGTTTAGTATTGTTAGTTTCCCTGTTTATAGGATTGGTCCCAATCATCCAGTCCTCCATTACTAGAAAATGGATTTACCCTACTTTACATATTTTAAGATAGTTCTACCTTTTCCCCAAGGTAGACATTAAAAACATTTGTAGCCATTTAATTTCTAGGTGCCCCCACCATCTATTCATTCTAGATTTGATAATATTATCTTTTTATCCCTAGCATGATCTTTTTTAGTTTCCTTATAATTCTAGA